GTCAAAGTAGGGTAACAAAAACCTATCTTTTTTACGGACTCGTACTGATACCTTTAGTCACTAGCGAGGTCAGGTCATGCCCGTTGAAGACTACATAACTGATATCATACTAAGTGTAGTACTGCTAGTAGTACTCGTACAGTATGGCACAGTGGTCCTTCCGTGATCGAACATGGAGGAATAACTTTATATTTGTCCATTAGCTTGTGTTTCTGGGCACCATTAGGAAATAGGATTTGGTCTGTTCGGCCCCTTCGAATTCCCACTCGTATCATAGCTTGTCCTTTGCGTCAATAATTTCGTTCATTCAAATTTGCAGCCCCTGCGTTTTGCTACGGTAGTCCATGAATGGCGAAGGTACTGTACAAGTGCACCAGCTCACCACTTATCAAGTGCTCGAGCGAAAAACGGCGTTTTCAAGAAAGAGCAATTATTCGGTTGTTGCCGGACTGGCGGCATTGGTCATATGTGATACCGGTATCACCTCACCCATCCATGCTCATGCATACCGAGAGACTTGCCAAGCAGCCACTGCTCCAAATTTCTCATCCAATCGCATTGCGGATAACGAACGCTGTGTTGTAACCTGTGCAGTACCTACAAGTATGAGTACGATTGAAGGAATCAATTTGAAAAACATAACTTGTGGCCTGTACTCGGCATTGAGTCAGCATTGAGCTCTCAAGCGGTGCGTGATGTGTTGATCACTCTGACCGCCATGGGGTAGAATTTGATAGTGGACGGCTACGGTTCTGGTAATAGGATAGGGTGAGCAACCATGGATCCGAGGGTTCGATTCTCCCTCCTTTGCTGTTCATTCCTGTTTTACGGCACGACCATTCTAAATTGTACTCGTACTTGTGCACGAGTATTCGGATGTCTGCCGATTTTGCACCCAAGAAACGGGTGGCGGTGATTGCTCCCGCCGCTACGAGTAATGCCTAGATGTCTTACTGTTGGGTGAGATAGCCCGACTCGGAAGCACTTCTCAGTTCCTGAGATTCCGGTTGCTGCACCCCACAGGTGGGCAGTTAATCAACCACGAGGCATCATGTATTGCCTGTTGAGTGAGAGCATTCAACCTTCGGTTTAGGAGTGTGTTTCCGGTGCTAAGCTTCGAGTCGATCTGTCAGCTTTGTATGCCCAAAGGCGTTACACTTACCGATATCTTTTGACTTGGGGGGTCTGGAGCTGGGGGAGAACGGTTGGGACCCTAGTTAAAGGTTTCTTTACGCTGGGGTTGAACGCCTCTAAAAAAACTAAATAGCGTGGTAAATCGATGGAAAGAGGAGAGCAGGCCGGTAGCCGGTCGTATTAAATGTGGGGTCCTGTGGCGCTGCACCCCGAGGGGGGCCTCTTTTATGATAGGATACACGAATTACGAGTGGGGTTGGTTTTGGAGAACTAAGACAGGTCCAAAAAGAGACCGACGGATGGTGCCGACACTGAAAATGAATTGGCTGCTAGTATTTTCAACCGGCAAGGGTTGAGTCGATCCTGGAGCTATGGTATATAAGCTCATATCCATCCTGAGGATGCGATTGACAGGGCTCCGTCTACTCTCGTCCCAGAGTTCTCATTTCTCATTATAGGCATGTTTCTTCTAGATCCTTATCGCCAGGCCACCATTGCAGCCTGCGCTGCGTTTCTTACCCAACAAGTGCTCTCCCCCATCCCCGAAGTCTCAACAACGAAATCGATCCTCTTCTACACTATCGCGAATGGCCTTTTGGTTCTTGCGCTGAAGAGAGCGGGGAACTGTATGTTGCATCTCCTTATCCGCGTATCCTTAATTAACATTAGCTATCTCACGAGCTTGGCATTTTTCACAATCGTACATCGCCTCTACTTCCACCCTCTTAGAAAGTTCCCTGGTAGTAAAGTTGCGCGCTTGTCAAAGCTATATGAAGCCTGGCTCAATTACAATGGCATGAATGGCCGGGTAGTGCGGGATCTATGTCGGAAACACGGAGACTTTATACGAACCGGGCCCAATGAACTTGCTATCAACAATGTGGAAGCGGTAGAAATTATCTGGGGGAGGACTCAGCCTAGGTCCAGAGGCCCTTTCTGGGAGTTTGCAAACTTTATAGGGGAAAGGCACTTAGTTAGCCAGAGAGATAAAGCCATACACGCTTCCGGGAGAGGCATCCACATCCGGAGGACTTACTCAGATACCT